GATAGGCTCAATATCAGTAATGGTAAACAGAATTCTCTGATGATAAAGTTACCAAAGATCTACAACAGGAAGTGGGCATCGTTTATGTTTATTTATCTATACACTCACACCATCTTCAATGAATCAGAGTAAGGCAAACTTTATAATGCTGGTATCAAAATCAGTGGTCTTAACAAAATAATACAAGTTGTTTGAGAGAACACCAATTAGCTGTATGAAGATCAGTTATCTATGATACAGATAGTTCAAAGTCTACCAATTAACCATTATGAAGATCAGTTATCTATGATACAGATAGTTCAAAGTCTACCAATTAACCATTATGAAGATCAGTTATCTATGATACAGATAGTTCAAAGTCTACCAATTAACCATTATGAAGATCAGTTATCTATGATACAGATAGTTCAAAGTCTACCAATTAACCATTATGAAGATCAGTTATCTATGATACAGATAGTTCAAAGTCTACCAATTAACCATTATGAAGATCAGTTATCTATGATACAGATAGTTCAAAGTCTACCAATTAACCATTAAGTCCCTAAAGACTTCAGTTCTACACCTATTGACCCAAACTATTGATGTCTAGCTCATACTCTATTACGTATACGCCTGCAACCTCTTGGAAAATGAAGATACCATAGCTCTTGTTAGGCTTGCAACCTCTTAGAGAAGGAAAATGCCAGGCCTGTTTTTTAAAGCCTTGTTAGCTTGTGTTGGTTGATAAAGAAATGAAAATGTGCTGCCTTTTTTTTTTTAAATATCTGGAAATTTACAAATATTTTACTGTTTCTTGTTCTTGTGTCTGTATGTGTACATATTAAGTTATATCTTAAATTTAGGGTTAGGGTCTTAAAATTGAGTTTCAATATTTTTAAACATATCCTAGATAGTAGGATTGTGATATGCTACCATTAAGCTGACAGGACTTTGAATAAAACATGTGCTCCAAAAGTAACCCAAGTTCGAATAATCCTGTGTAACTATTTTTTGCCCTGCAAAATTTACCGTAATACAGGAGTGAGACGTCCATTTGGTGTTTTGCTGAACATATTTCCCACTTTTTAAAAAAAAAATCGAGCTCTGATTCATCTCTGAATGAAGTTGGGAAGATTAATATTCATGAGAAGGTATACAGCTGTGTTGTAATTATAACTTGTAATATTTGGTGTTTCCTGCTCATCACATTAGACAAGATGTGCAGTACCAAAAATTGATAAATATATTTGTGTAACTGTAGCTCCAATTACAAGGTATCTTTATATATACAACAGTGTATATATATTATATAGCTGAGGAATCAGACCTTATTAAAGCTGACAGTGCAAGTTAAAAAGCTTTCAATTCAGATTTATAAAAAAAAAAAAAATGTTCACCTTGTTTAGAGATCTTCCCCATCTCTTCCTTCTACCATTTCTAAGGGTGTGCCGACTGGTTTGACACTGGTAATGCGCTTTTTATACCCAGCGAGACCCATACTCATTGCCAAGCAAGGAAAAACTGAAATGTCGGCACTTCCTTATAAACGTAAGTCGGAAGATATGGGGAAGATCTCAAAACCAGATTTGATTTTTTTTTTTTTTAATCTCAATTTAAAGCATTTTAGCTTGCATTGTCAGCTTTAAGGTACATATTATAACCAATAACTGTGACTATCTCCCAGGATGCATCATACTGTTGATGCATGACCTGACTAATCTTCAAATCCAAGGGTTACACTCTTTCACTATCACCTATCATAAACCATATTTACACTGACTGCCTATCATAAACCATATTTACACTGTCTGCCTATCATAAACCATATTTACATTGTCCACCTGTCAATAACAACATATTAACAATAACGCCCCTATGTACACATTTAAATGTACCTGTCTATAATGACACATTCACAGTAGCCACTCTACAATAATGAAATATTTTACAATAACCTGTCTATAATGACAAGTATTTCATCATCACATGTCTGTTATGACAGGTATTTCACTATCACATGTCTGTAATGACAGGTATTTCAATATCACATGTCTATAATGACAGGTATTTCATTATCACATGTCTATAATGACAGGTATTTCACTATCACCTGTCTGTAATGACAGGTATTTCACTATCACATGTCTATAATGACAGGTATTTCATTATCACATGTCTATAATGACAGGTATTTCACTATCACCTGTCTATAATGACAGGTAGTTCACTATCCCCTGTCTGTAATGACAGGTATTTTACTATCACCTATCTGTTATGACAGGTAATTCACTATCACCTGTCTGAAATGACAAGTATTTCACTATCACCTGTCTATAATGACAGGTAGGTCACTATCACCTGTCTGTAATGACAGGTATTTTACTATCACCTGTCTGTAATGACAGGTAATTCACTATCACCTGTCTATAATGACAGGTAATTCATTATCATTTACAATAACCTGTCTATAATGACAAGTATTTCATCATCACATGTCTGTTATGACAGGTTTTTCACTATCATATGTCTGTAATGACAGGTATTTCAATATCACATGTCTATAATGACAGGTATTTCATTATCACATGTCTATTATGACAGGTATTTCATTATCACCTGTCTGTGATGATAGGTATTTCACTATCACCTGTCTGTAATGACAGGTATTTCACTATCACATGTCTATAATGACAGGTATTTCATTATCACATGTCTATAATGACAGGTATTTAACTATCACCTGTCTATAATGATAGGTATTTCACTATCACCTGTCTATAATGACAGGTAGGTCACTATCACCTGTCTGTAATGACAGGTATTTTACTATCACCTGTCTGTAATGACAGGTAATTCACTATCACCTGTCTATAATGACAGGTAATTCATTATCATTTACAATAACCTGTCTATAATGACAAGTATTTCATCATCACATGTCTGTTATGACAGGTATTTCACTATCACATGTCTGTAATGACAGGTATTTCACTATCACATGTCTATATTGACAGGTATTTCACAAACACCTGTCTATAATAGAAGGCATTTCACTATCACCTGTCGATAATGACAGGTATTTCACTATCGCCTGTCTATAATGACAGGTATTTCACTATCACCTGTCTATAATAACAGGTATTTCACTATCACCTGTCTATAATGACAGGTAATTCATTATCATTTACAATAACCTGTCTATAATGACAAGTATTTCATCATCACATGTCTGTTATGACAGGTATTTCACTATCACATGTCTGTAATGACATGTATTTCAATATCACATGTCTATAATGACAGGTATTTCATTATCACATGTCTATAATGACAGGTATTTCACTATCGCCTGTCTATAATGACAGGTAGTTCACTATCACCTGTCTGTAATGACAGGTATTTTACTATCACCTATCTGTTATGACAGGTAATTCACTATCACCTGTCTGTAATGACAAGTATTTCACTATCACCTGTCTATAATGACAGGTAATTCATTATCACCTGTCTGTGATGATAGGTATTTCACTATCACCTGTCTGTAATGACAGGTATTTTTCTATCACCTATCTGTTATGACAGGTAATTCACTATCACCTGTCTGTAATGATAAGTATTTCACTATCACCTGTCTATAATGACAGGTAATTGATTATCACCTGTCTGTGATGATAGGTATTTCACTATCACCTGTCTGTAATGATAATGACAGGTATTTCACTATCACCTGTATGTAATGATAGGTATTTCACTATCACCAGTCTAAAATGACAGGTATTTCACTATCACCTGTCTATAATGACAGGTATTTCACTATCACCTGTCTGTAATGACAGGTATAATCTATTAATCTATCAACTGTCTGTAATGACAGGTATTTCACTATCACATGTCTATAATGACAGGTATTTCATTATCACATGTCTATAATGACAGGTATTTCACTATCACCTGTCTATATTGACAGGTATTTCACTATCACCTGTCTGTAATGATATGTATCTCACTATCACCTGTCTTTATTGACATGTATTTCACTATCACCTGTTTGTAATGACAGGTATTTCACTATCACCTGTCTGTAAAAACAAGTATTTCACTATCACCTGTCTATATTGACAGGTATTTTACTATCACCTGTCTGTAATGACAAGTATTTCACTATCACATGTCTATATTGACAGGTAATTCACTATCACCTGTCTGTAATGACAAGTATTTCACTATCACCTGTCTATATTGACAGGTATTTTACTATCACCTGTCTGTAATGACAAGTATTTCACTATCACATGTCTATACTGATAGGTATTTCACTATCACCTGTCTGTAAAAACAAGAATTTCACTATCACCTGTCTATAATGACAGGTAATTCACTATCACCTGTCTATAATGACAGGTATTTCACTATCACCTGTCTATAATAACAAGTATTCACTATCATCTGATCATGACTGTAATGACAGGTATTACACCATCACCTGTCTTTAATGACAGGTATTTTACTATCATCTGTCTATTAAGACATGTATTTCACCATCACATATCTATAAAGACAGGTATTATCTGTCACCTGTCTATTAAGACAGATAATTCACTATCACATATATGTATAGAGAGGTATAATTTATTACCTGTCTATTCAAAGCTACATATTTTAACCTTCTCTCTGCAATTAGTGTTCATGGCGATATGCAGATACAGTATTAGAGTATCAATGTTTGAACATGTTCCGTACTGTACGGAGAGAGATGAATGGACTTTTGATGACCCTACGGTACCCGATGACATGTGATTTGTATCGTTGATGTGTGTACACCAGTGAAGAGAGCACTGTGTGACCGAGATCATTTCTATTCACGCCCCTCAGACGGAGATCAAGAGGTTCAGCATCCACGCTTTTCACTGATGCTTTTAGTGGACCGATATTCTTTGACTGGTACATGATTAAGTTCAGCTATACACAGTAACAAAAATGAAACGTGGAAATATTCGAAACAAAATCATCGTCCTTACCTTCCGTTTTAGTATGTCCAGCCTCCCTTTTTCGCGAGATCAGCTGCTCTCGGACGAGTACTTAACTGTTATACGTCTCCGTCTCGTCTACTGGCCATCATATACACACAACCATAAGCACGTGACCCGAGTAGCGGAACAATGCATCAGCTGATCAAAACACACACCATGCTGCGTAAAATATGTGGTTTTCATATATGTTCAGCCTATCTTCAGCATTAAAACATGGTCCAGAGTATAGGCCAGGTCGAATTTCACGGTTGATACCTCAAAATTAATGATATAGTAAAAATTTACCGTATTTTTCCCTACGTCATCGACATTGACCTAGTTTGGGTTCAAGGGTTATACGAATGTATTAAGTCTTTGTGTTATGATAGGGGGCCATAAGGGGGTAATACAAGAGCTGTTAACAGTTGAGTACGTACAGAGCAGTCGCTACCTGCTTTGAAATACAAAGGGGTGTGTTTTAACTTGACACACGACTGGTGTATCAAAGCCATACCTGTATTCGTGTCTGCGTGTATACGAACTGTGACGCGGTACTAAACACTGGTTTGTTTGGTCGATATATCCACAATAAGAAATATTTCTATACTTAGAACAGACTGTTTAGTCACTGATTTCCGTGTGTGGAGGCGGTGTTGCGTATGGTGATGTAACATAACATCACTCGGTTTCCAGACAAATCAAACATTTTGACTCATCATGACATAATTTGATTTTACCAATGTAGGCATGTGTAAACAATTAGCTGTACATTCATTGGCAGACTTACTAGACACATGCTGTCAGAGAACAAATTTAATTGGTTAGATATATGACTTTATCGTTTCTTTTGCTTTGTGCTGAGGAAATCCCTTAAAATCTTAAAACATTTTACGCATACATATTATCTATATAACGGACATTTTCATAATTATATCTATGTAAATATTGTTGAAACATAAGCGCGCATAACACGTACGCCCACCCACAGTGAACACATTCATGTAGGTACTCTATGTTATAAGGACATGTGTCATTTTACCTCAGTAGTATCCTTAATAAATAAAAAATGAATTTTCATTAATATTGATTTCGCCACGAAAAACAGAGATGAAGACAAAAACTGTGCCGAAATGAGCTGAAAACTTTGCTGCACTAATTAACACATTACGATCCACACTGTAGTTAGTACAGATTTAAGATGTATCTAGTCGCTCAAGGATATATACTGCTAAATAAAACATGAGATAAAAGGAATACTTTAGATTGAACATTTTAATCAAAAAATTAATGGGAGGTGTCACTTAAATTTGTATGTGTCAGTGGGTCATCACGGATAAGTTTGATTTGTTTTGTAGAAATGAAGTCTAGGGTTATGTCATTATTGGATCAATCAGTTTTATGGAAAGGAATGAGGGGCCCGGAGTAAAGTTGAGAAAAGCTAATACGGTATTTTATTTAGATGATTACAGAAACTAGAGTTCTTATGTTCAATTTTTTTATATGGTAATTACAACTACACGTATTCTTCTTGGTTATATAAGCTGCGACATTTCAAATTATATTGTTTAAGTTTTAAACAGCATCTAAAATTTAAAATCTATATATATATATATATATATAAAGGTAGAAAGTGAAGCCCCTTGTCATGGCCTATGCATCGAACAAAAGGAGTGGAGCGGCTGAAGTTTGGTCCTTTTGAGTTACTGGGCACCAGTGATCTACGTTTACAATAAAGGTTACATAAAACATGTTATCACCGCCATGCTAGTCTGAAAATGGAGTGCAGCTCCTTGAAATTTCAATTGTGTCGTAGAAATCTAGTTAATAGTCCTTAAATATGTTCAAGTACGGAAAGAACGATATCTGTTAACATTGCCGCCTTTTTTCACAACGCCGTGTACGTGTCTTCACTGAGATAAATCGTCCAATTTCAATTGAATTACTGCTGTTTGGCGATGATGAGCTGTCAAATTATTAAAATGCGTCAATTTTCTCCTGTACTAAAAATTTCAATGTCGGCTCTTGAAGATTTGAATGAGATTTTCTCTATTTCAATATATACCTCTAGATCTTTTTATCATCATTTTACACAGATTATATCTGAGCTACTACCCTCTCTATCCTATCCTGCTCTAGCCTATTTCCCTTTTTACATCTTTCTCGAATATCCGTCATAAATCATGTAGTCCTCAAACATCGTTTTTATTTCCAGCTGAAGATGAATTAATATAAGTTGTAAAACTTGATTCCAATTCCTATTTGAACAATACATATAGCTTATATTGCTTTATATCATAATGTAAATGCAAAATGAAATGAAATAGGGTTTATGTTAAACATATTTTCAAATAGAATTTACATATAGCTGTTATGTAATGTGAAATTAATGTCCCTGGACATATTTTGGTTTCATCGTTCATATTTTTTTATAATGACTTTTTTATTGTCCGGGAAATCTTCAATTTACACACATTACACAAATTACATTCTCTCTCCTCCCAACCCCATCCCCCATTTTACCGAGTTTTATCTCAACCCAAAACGCCTGCGCATCAGGATATACCCAAACACTTGTGCACTCATTATATACAGGTTACTATACGCAAGTCGTACCTCTCCGAAACGTAAGGCCGCGCTGATAACCCAGATACAAACTATTTTCAAATTGTCTCATTAATATTCAGAGTTCGGTGCGGCTCCCTAGCGACACGGGTATCTGTTACACGTGTATTTTCCACCTTTGATCGAATATAAACAATATCACACACACATATATATATATATATATCACTGACATAGCTGATAGCACGAATCATTTACACCCACACAATAAACACAGCGGGCACCTGAGTTTATAAAACAGAATATTAAAATGGAGAAACAAGAAAAGTATCAAGAAATATCATACACTTTATGATAAAGTTAATCAGCAGGGTCAGAGTATTCATGAACATGATTATTAATCTCATATTTTGTCAACATTTCTCAGTTCCCTTTGAGGAAACCAGTGTAACAGATCACAGGTACCTGAGAATGTGTAACAGTTATATTTGGACCTAAACTAAGTTGTTCGGAGTAATTTTACATGTTTTAGGGGTCAAGATCGACTTTCGGTAAAAATGACACCCCAATGATCATATCTACGAGTGTCATTTTTACCGAAAGTCGATCTTGACCCCTAAAACATGTAAAATTACTCTGAACACCTTAGTTTAGGTCCAAATATAGCTGTAACAAATTATCATGTCCCTTTGTAACAGGTCACTCCATTGGGTGTCGAACCCGGAACCTCTGATTTACTAGTCTTACGCTCAGTTCCTAGAAAGAGTTAACGAGGGATGCTCTTTAGCTGAGTTGAGATTTTTTACTAATAAATTACCATGGCAACAAAAGAAATTGGTGATTACATAAAAAGGTTCCAATCTTTATTAGCTTGATTACGTATCCAGCTCCGAGGAAGACCGCAGAGAAATGAAGCAATATAGTCTAACGGGAGATAACTCGTAAAATTTGAAAATTTTATGAAATTGGGAAATTTTACTCGAGATGATAGCCTCCTGAAAGTTACCTATCTGGGGCGTAATTAAGATATGGTTTGTTAACAATTTACGATAACGGAAATCACTCAGTTGGAGTTATAAATGTGTTATTGTGCGACAGATAATCTGAATTTTAGTAGATAATAGTGAATATCCTTTTTACCGAATTGAACAGTTTCTGTTTTTAATACAATCTCTGACGAACAGGGAAAGTTGAGTAATTGCTGTTCGAAACATTTGTCAACCAAAGCATAATAACCACTAGTGAAGGTGAAACTACAAAGACAGATCCCCTTGAGGATTTATATGTGAAGCATCTCTTTTTATTATTTCAGCCTACAAAACAATATCGTATAGGATAAAAAGTCAATAAAACACAAGAATACCCAAATTATTTTTCGAAGTTAGGTATCCCTATCCTCGAAATTCCAGAGGTAACGCCCACTTACATGTACGTTCTGTGCAGAGAACGTTATCTGAGCCTAAACCCCGTAATTGCATGGCAGGGGTATCCCAAACGTAGTGAACATTACTGCGAGAAGAATTGACCACGAGGCGAACGCATGTACGTTATGTTTCTGTTAATATATCAATCCGTTAATCAAATGTTTATTCCAAAATCATTCTGTTGATAGAAAGGACTTAATTATAGTATCCATCATTTCGTGATGCTAAGTCAGTTAAACTATGTAGTTTGAAACTTTGGAAATTTTCACACAGTAGCAATTTGTTAATTCATTTTAGAATTTAGAATTATGCTTTATTTCTTCATTGATGATTAAAGACACAAAACTTGCTCAAAATCTCTCTGAAATGTACTGTAAAATAAATTGTAATAAAATCAATAAAACAAAATATGAACAGTCTTTCGCATTTTATGTACGTTAATAAATTGTTAATACAATAAAGAAACAACGGCAGGATTACAATGACGTACAGATATCATCCACACCCACTGGTACTAGCTGTAACCAAGCTATAGAAATTAATATAATAATCTTTTTTTTTTACTTGTAAGATCTCGGAGAGCTCGAACTTTTTAATTTTGTTTTTTAAAATGGAAGTTCCACGCTTGTCAATATATGGAGGAATGAAATATTATCTAACTTTGAAACCGGACCCAATGTTCAAGGTTAAGCCGACTATCAAATATTTAGACAAAAGGAAACAACGTCGTCGTAGGGAATTGTAGTGGAAAAATGAACTTATAAACGGGAAAGATCGGAACATTGATTGATAGATGTAAACATCAAAGTACTGAAAAAAAAATTTGCGAGGAACATATTACTAAAAATAGCCTTAAATAAAATTCCATTTATCGCATAATGAATGTTGCTATTTCAAACGGTGTATTTACTATTATAATAAACACGGCAAATACAACTACGCTTTTTGTACAGCCTATTGACAGTGTCTAGTCTAAATAGACACCTGGTATGTCCTAACCACCTCGACAGCATTTCACTCTGGATCTGATGTGATGTCTTCTACCCTTGCGATATCCGAGTTCACAATGTCTGGAGGGCATCTGCCATTATATGTCCTCTATCAGGCTATATATAGCTAACACTGACAGGATCCGCAACAGGCCAGTTGACATCTGAAGCATTGTTCGTTTGCATAAAATTGTAATATTTACAATTAAGAATCAACATTTATACCAGGTCATTTAACCGTTAATGTATATATATATATAAAGTAATTACTTTTGATACGTTGGTGTTTATCGATCTCTTATTTTCCAACTACATGTAGCAGTTATCGTTCTTAGTATATGGCTAG